GTTTTGCTTTGTTTCACAGAACTAATCGTTGCCTGGGTTGTGTACGTATGTGTGGGGCGGAGCTATCAAAATAGGGGCGAGACCCTTTTGGGGTAGAGGCGTGTTTGTTTTGGTGATTTCAAATGTCAACATTGGCTACCAGAAATCGCTTACCCCACCTTTAATGATTGCTATCGGGATGTGAAGAGACTTTCAACCAGCATAACAAAAAAATTTTCTGAAGACAATCACCTATTGCACCTTTAAGCACAACCATAACTATAAAATAAAACATCAATACAAAATACAAAACAAAACCAAAATTTATGTCTGTGAACTTTTAGCCAAATGATAGTAAATTTACTAAGTAAATAAATAAATAACTTAAGTAAATAAACCAGTAAATAAAAAACAAATATTTAAGCAAAACACTAAACAGAAAATTTAAAAAAAAAAAGTTTACTAGACATAATAGTAAATTTATCGGCCAACTGACCAGTTATTCTGTTTTTCTACTCACCAAAACCTATTTATATTATTATTATATAAAACAAACAAGATATGATATAGATAGACAGATAAACAGACAGACAGACAGATATATAGATTAAATAACAAAACTAAATTTATGTCTCTGAACTTTTGGTTTCCTGGCTAAATGTATAGTAAATTAAGTGGCCAGTTATTCTTGCCAAAATATATTTATATAGTTGACACTGGGCGAGTGTTAATTTTGGACCCTGCTGGCAAGTCTGAATGAAGTTAAAGTCTGGTTAATGAACATGGTGTTGTCATCCATCTCCACAGCTCTAGCCTCAGTTTTGTGTGGATTTGTGGGAGTAAAGCTGGCTGCAGTCTTGGCCAGAGGGCAGAGAGGATGTCAGCACTCAGGCTCAGGCTTGGAGGAGCAGTCGGCACTCGAGTGGAATGCACAGTTTACCATTATGTTGAAATCACCACACAAGCTTCCAGCTTAACATATGGCATTCAGTTGATTGTTTTAATTGCTAAAGCTTTATCTAATGTCCTTTTGCTGGGTGGATATTGGTATGTGTGCAGCCATTCACTCCTTATAGACCGTTTACACACATGAATCACTGCACCACTGTGATTATAAGGGTGGTATGTATACTGCTCTGACAGCATGTCATATTTACTGGACAAATTTAAAATTTCTGTAACAGAACGGCTTTGTTTTATTTCATTTGTATCTACATTGTACAGATACATAATATACACTAGGGTTGTGCCGATAGACGATAGTATAGTGTATCGACGATAGTCAGAGATATCGACGATAGCAGATGTCTTTGTCGATAGTCAAGACGATATTAGGCTCATTCTCCTATTAATGTATTAATAATAATAATTATTATTATTAGGTGGCCCATTATAATTCGGCTATTATTATCAAATTGCCCCGCTTTTTCATTCAGCACTGTATTTCACACACACACACGCAAATGAGGAGCATGTAACCGGTGAAGGAGTCTCCAACCACAAACACGGACACATATCGTATGCACTTCACACACACACACACAGACAGACACACACACACACGCACGCAAATGAGGAGCCTGTAGCCGCTGAAGGAATCTCCAACCACAAACACAGACACATATCATCTGCTGATATAAGGTATTTCCTTGCACTTTAAAAAGTAATCTGAACGGCCTATATATGTGCACTATTTTAACGGAGCCCTCACTAACTGAGTTTAATGCCACTGTTGCCACAGTTATGTTAGAACTCATCTCATTCTTGTTTCTGTGGCGGTGCGTCGGGCTCATCATGGGGCGCGTGGTCCGGAGCGCTGTATGACTGATGTA